TTTGGATAACATATTGCACATTTTTAATTCGTCCCATCCTCGTCTTCAGTTTACAATGGAGATAGGAGATGACTGTATTAACTTCTTAGACACTACACTGTTAATACGTAATAACGCAATTATTTTTTACTGGTATCATAAACCAACGTTTTCTAGTCGATACCTTAATTATTTGTCTTTCCACCCTATTCAACACAAGATTGGCATAATTATTGGCTTGGTTGATAGGATGTTTTATCTTAGTCATCCTTCTTTCCATAAGAAAAATTTGGATTTTATTATTTTGACGTTAATTAATAATAATTATTCTTTTGACTTAATTTTTAAAGTTATTAAACGCAGACTGAGGTTCCTTATTGTGAATGGTGGACGAGTTACAGAGACAGTAGAAATAAAATTGACAGGTTCTGGGTGTGATAAAAAATATGTTACCTTACCATTTTGTGATTCAATTTCGAAAAGACTGACAAAGCTTTTTAAAAATAATTTGATAGACATTGCTTATTCGTGCACTAATAAATTATCAGGATTAATTCGTGTGCATAAAGACAGGTTACCTCTTGGTTTCCATAATAACGTTGTATATAGGTTGCAATGCAGTGGCTGTGATGCTTCTTACGTTGGTCAAACTAGTAAAAGACTCTACACGTATTGGCGAGCATAGGAGAATTCCTAAGAGTTCTACGGTGGAGTTAACGGCCATACAGGAACATCGTTTGAGGAAGAACCATGATTTTGATTGGGATCATGTCAAAGTTTCACATGAGGAACGCTTTTACTTAAAACGCCTGATCTCAGAAATGATTTTCATCAAATTGCAGAAGCAAGGTCTTAACTCACAAAAGAATACCGAATATTTGGGCACCAGCTACTGCGGCTTGTTATGAAAATAAACTTTGTTTTGGTTTCTTTCTTTTCCACAAGTCGTTTCCGCAATGTTAATGCTAGGCATATAAATCTGTAATTATTTGTATTTTGAAGACGTGGCGATGTTATCGTTGACAGGATCGGTTTACTTTTAGCTGAACTCAACAAAGGTATTTTATATTGTTCAGTTTTAATTATTTATTATATTTCAATTTTACTTATTTTTATTTTATTTTATATGTTTTTTATAGTTATGACGGCTACTTCTCAATATTAATTTATTACTTAATATTATTTCGGTAACGGTCTTGTCGGCTTTAATATTACGACTAACATTCATGTCAATTTGCGCAGGTCTTTTACTAATTGTAATGCGTTCGTGTCGTAAACCTTGAGTTTTATTATCACTGAAGAGGGTTCATGGTTGAACCGAAACGTATGATTGTTTTATATTGATTATTCATATTCAATAAATATTACACGATTTCCTAATACAAGGAAGGTTTCTTACCCATATGGTATATAGCACTATTAGTCCTGTGCTTGAACTCGAATTGCCCCTTTTCCTACTTTTCGATCTTTTTTAGTTAAAAACTAACAATTTACGTAATTATTTGCAAAATGTTAGAGAATTTTTTCGTGCAATGTGACCTTGTCTATAAGCACAAGATAACAGGCGCCTGTTATATGATCATCACGCGTGTGATCATTTATCAATCTTCTTTAATTAATATCTTGATAATTATTGCGAATATTGTAAAATCGTATCAGAGTGTGTTATTCATCTCAATTCATTTTATGCTTTCGCGAAATTTGAGTTATTGATCTGGGACACCTTATTTATATTTATCTATTTAATACTATAGGGGTATGCAACGGTTATAAACTATCACTAAAATAACACTTAATCCTTAAAAGTATGTTTTCAAAAGTGCTATAAATATTTCTCTAGCGCAAACACAAAATAATAACATAACCATTAGTTATAATTTCCTATTCAACAATGTCATTTTTATATAACACGTGTTATGTTGTATTTATATTGTTGAATGGAAAATTATATTAAAAAAACTGAGTTATAACAAATATTTTAATAGAAAGGATTATTAGTGTGACAGTAATTATTCAAAAAGTGTGATACTTTATAAGAGTAGTTTTCCCAGCATAAGTTTTGCCGTCTCGTGATCACCGTTCTTATGTATGTTAATGCATTATATTTTCCATACGAAAAAACAGAAATGAAAATCATCTAATGAATGATCTAACGTCTAGAAGTAAAAATGTTACATAACATAGATATAATACCAGCAATACATTTGCTATATAATGTATTATATTTTAGTTACGTTGGTGTTATATATCGTTATAAGTATCAGTAAATTATAAAGCAATATAATCATTTTAAAATAGAATTATATCACAATTATAAAAATAAATTATGTAACTTTAACGTTAATAATATATAATAGCCATTATATTACATGTTATCTTTGTTACATAATAATTATATTTTGTTTGCTCGAATAATCTTATATCTGCTATTTAGAAAATTTAATTCGTTAACAACTTTTTAATAAACAACAATCGCTGTCTAAAATTTTTTTATTATTATTCAGATACTCTCGATATCACACATCAAAAGTCAATGTCATTAGCGAGCTATGCGAGAGTAATAAATATCAAAAAAGTTGTTTAACTTTTGAGTCGCAAAAAATTTTTTTATAGTATATATTTTTTATCTAAAAGGAGAGCCTATTTACAAAACTTGAGCACGTGAACGTGTTGACTTTTCGGAAATTTCGCTAATTTATTAGTTATACAAACACACAAAATATAAAAATATATATAGATTAAAATAAAATATATTAAAACTTTTTAAATACTTATATTCTAGATACAAAATGGGAACATCGATTACTTAAATTGGATTGGCAAAATAGTATCACCACTTAATTCAAAGGATCAGGATACGACAAATAATTAGGTATCTCCGTCAAGACAACTATTATTTTATTTATTCATTCATAAAAATAATTATTCATTCGTAAAAACTGCTAGAGTAAAAATAAATAACAAATGATGACAAAACAAACACATGCTGATATAAGTATATAATAGTAGAGATGTGATAAGTAAGTATATATATGTAATAGAATATTTGTAGAAAGTATATGAAAAATATAAATGATGTATAAAATATGCTTATCATTGAAAGAGACTTCCCTTGTATATGAATGATTACCAAATGTATATGTTAAATGACATTGATTGATTAAAATGTCTATTTTATATATATATATATATATATATATATATATATATATATATATATATATATATATGTATTACTATATTTAAATAATATTTAACTACAATATTATATGATGTAAGGCACATATATAATTTTTTATATAGCGGGTATATTATTACGCTATAAACTATGTATACTCATATACTTATACACAGAAATATTTTGAAAGCATTACACACTTATAATAGTTTGTATTATACAAACAAATACAGTCAATAAAAAATAATATTTATCTTTTTTTTTAAGATCAGCCATTTATTGCTAGACCAGATTTGCTGAGGCTTGAGGGCTTGGTTAGGTAGCGTGAGTGGATGTCCGATATATACGGTGTGAGTGTTTTTAGAAAGATTCGATTAATTAGGTTAATAAGTAGGCGGAGAGATAGTGAATTGAAGTGATTGAGGGAAATAGAAAACATAGAAAAGTAGACAAAAAGAAAGGTGAGATAAGAGATTGCGGAAAGTATTTAGGATGTGCGGAAAATGTATGATAGATTTGAAGTTATGTCGTCGCGAGATTCAGATAAGGCGAAAAAAGCAAAATGAAGGAAAAGGAAATCAGAGGAGTAAGAAAGTAGGGAATGTTAAGAAAGTAACATTTAAAGAAAGAAAAGAAATGAGTACGCAGTAAATAATGAAAATTAGAGAAAAGCTTATTGTATAAGATAAGAAAGGAAGTAGGGAAAATAGAGGAAGAATGGAAAACATAGATAGAGCATGTAGAAAAGAAATGGGAAAGTAGGTTGAGGGGCATGGAAATAAAATTAGAGGAGTTAGACAATGAAAAAACTGAAAGGATTGATTTTATAGTAGAAATAGGTGAGGAATTGAGATATTATTGAAAGATATAAGAAATGGGGAATTGAATTTCGAGGTAGAAATTATTAAAAGAGAGAGAAAGATTTACAGAAACAATGGGAGAAAATTGGAGTAGGATTTTTTTTTTGTTAGAAATATAAGAATAAGAAATATCAAGTTAATAAAAATAGGAGATGGCCCCAAATATTTAAAGAAGAATTTGGATAAGTTAAGGATGGATAAAGGAATGAGGGTGCTAGCTAAGTTAAGGTGTGGAAATTTACAAAGGATGAATACTGGAAACAGAAAAGAAAAAAAAGTTGTGTTTTGCGAAAGGGAGCAAGATAGTATAAGGCATTATATGGATAGGTGTCCGAATACAAAAAATGGTTTAAAGAGTTAGGAGGAAATAGTGACGCAATATGGAAAAAGATTTGGGATAATAATTTTGACAAGATAAAAAATAATATTTTATGGAGCATTTAAAGAGAAAGAGAAAACAGATTTACAAAGATAAAAAAGAATAAAGAAAAGAAAATCATGGATGTGGGTAAGAAAAGATCGATATAGGATGCAGAATACAGAGAAAAAGAGTAGGAAACGTCTAATAATAAATTTGAATAATAATTGGTAAAAGGAGGAATAGATAGAAAAAAGATCACGAAGTGACATACGTGATATAAGAATAAGTTAGGGAATGAAAAAGCATTGTATGTTTTATAATAAGATGAAATTAGAATAAATTTTGTGATATTATTAGTTCGAATATAGCGAATTCGGTAGCTTACACTAGTGCGCACTGAGTGCGCGTTAAGGCTTGTTTATAGTACATTCTTATATTTAAGATCGTGTCTTAAATATATATTTAAAAACATTTTAGCTAATAAAATGATTCGTACGGATGTTATACATATCATATTATGGTTAAAATATTTGAGAATTTATTTAAGACAACCTTTAAATATAATAACATACTATGAACAAGTCTTAGTGCACTCAGTACGCACTAGTGCAACCGAATTCGCTATTAGAGAGAGAAGTCCTTTCTTGGCTATATAGCTGAAGTAATAAATACATACACATATTGATAGCTTTTATTCAATATATTGCTAAACAAATAGAAATTATTGTTATGAAATCATTTTGTAATATTTCAGTGTTAAAAAAAATAGAAAATGCATTTTTTATCGACTATATGTTATTGTATCATACAATACTTTGATAAACATATTTTGATAAATAAAATTGAAATACAATTTTCGTTTAATTATGCAGTCAAAGCCAAAACATATCTATTTAAAACCACGGCAATTCAGGAATTTTATACAATTTTAATTTTCTTTATACAATTCAGGAAAACAACAAAACCTAATTTTACCAGTTAAAATAATTGCAAGATTTGTATGGACATCTTAATATAAACAATAGTTGATATACATAATTAAATTTGTATTCATAACCAAAGAATAATTTTTTGGATTACAGCTTAACCTGCGGCTTTATAATTTTCGTTTAACTCGTGCGGACAAGAAGAACAGGAATGTACGCAAGAAAAGCACAATTTTAACTTAGTCAAACAATTAATTAAAATATTATTTTCGAATGCATTATAATGCATTATAAGAAGCGAAACTAAAGAATAGTTTTTTTATCAATAATAACCAAAGGTATTTAAATGACAGAACACCATCTATCACTTGAGCATACTTGTAAAATGTTTTGAAAACTAACCTTTTCCTTTAGTAGTCAATAAATAGCCGTAAAATTACGCAAAGATCATGACAAAAGAAGTTGCATGTCACGTCAATTTTATGACTATTTATTGATAATCAATAAAAAAATAGGTTTCGGAGCAATTCATAAGTATGCACAAGCGATCTTAAGGATTGTCTTACGTAAATATCTTAATATTTGAAATGACATACAAGACGCGCATATTTTCTTACTTCTGACATCATAAATCAAGATAGGTACGGTGAAGGACCAGAGTCTTAAGTCTCGAGACCCCTGACTACTTGCCGCGACTATTTTGATTTATTATGTTAAACACAAGACAATATGCTCAAAATTCTTGCGAAACATGTAGAAATAAAAACATGATCTCTAAAACATATAGAAATGACACAGTCAAAAGCAGATATATAAAGTACTCTGAAAATTCCCCTGACAATACAATTAATGTGACAAAATCATGAGAAAAAAATAGTTTAAAAAGAAAGATTTCATGTCATGTTAATTTTAAGATTATTTATTAATTGTTAGAACAAAATATTCATATTATTTTACACATTTGCTTGATCGATTGTAAATGTCATTTTATTGATATATCTTTTATATGAAATCTTTTTATTTTATATATCTTTTTATTTCTACGTGTATTTCGCAGGAATTTGAATATATCCTCCATATCATTCCATCTCCTCTATATTATTATTCTTCCATATTACTCCATCTCCTCTACATATCTCCTCACTTCTGACGTAATCAATTAAGTTTCGCATGAAACTTAATTGATGAACAGCCAGAAACTCTAATGGGCGATAGTGGAGTTCGAATTTGTAATATGGTACAGGAAAGTTGACGTTATCTTCCACCATCGTAACCGGGGTAAAGCAATAATAATGCCGATGATAATGGCTGATTAATTTCTATTTTATAATTTTTACCCAAATTATGCCGGCACGAAGGACAAGAATATACGTTAGAGGTGAAACTGCGTTTTAAACAAATTAAACATATATTATGCGCGCAAGGAGTAGTTACAGGATTGTAAACTATTTCGAGGCAACAAGCACACAGGAATCTGCAAAAAAAATTGAATTATATTAAATGAATGCTGATGAAGCGAATTGACAAAGAAACTGTCTAAGCCCAGCAAACATAGTTATATAACAGTAATATTACTGTAATAAAACACAATATAACACGTTTGTATCAGGTTATATACGTTAGTAGTAATTTTTTACTCATATAAATAACAGTTATATAACGTTAATATAATACATAAATAATATGTTATATAATTGTTGAACAAGCAATATAATATATAATTATTATATAAAGTATTTATAAAGTATTGTTATATAAAGTATGAAATTGTTATATAACTGTTATTTCTTTTGTTATTGAATAATTATAAAGATAAGACAAATTACTGAGTTTGTATTTTTTAGTAAAAATCCTAACTCTCATACCTATCTGCAAAACCGTCAGAAAATAGAAATATGAAAAGTCGTCAATTTTGAAGCCTTGTAATTTTCATAATAATATTCCAATATTTAAGCGATAAATCTTTTCTTTATATCTTGAAATATGCCCTTTTAAAATTTGAAATCTTTTTTCGATTATCTGTATTACCAAAAAAGATATGAATTTTCCAAGCTATACAGAGTGTCCCGAAACTACCGCATGCTATTTTAATAGCAGATTCTTTAGAACATTTCAAAACGAAAGCTTTCATACAAAAATGTCGAGGTTATAATAATTTTCAAACGGGAAGCGATTATATTTTACCAATAACAGTGCTGAGATTTCGCATGCTCAGGCACGCCGAAATGACAAGTGATAAAGGCAAGTGATAAAGACAAGTGCTCCTATGAATGTTATAGTGGACACCTTCATGGTAATAATTGATCGACACTTTAACAGATTAAGTTGAAACATGTCATTTTTACTTAAATCATATTTAAGATGTCTTACAATTGTTATTCGTATAAAAAATATACTAATGCAATGCGTGGAGAAGTGACAAAACATTATGACAATGTAATTGTAAATTTATACAATGATCATAATATCGTAAAAAGGGTGATTCATAAGAGCACCTTTATCACTTGTCATTTTGGCATGCCTAAGCGCACGAAATCTCAGTCCTGTCATTGGTTAAATATAATCGCTTCCCGTTTGAAAACTAATATAACCTCGACATTTTTATATAAGTTTTCGTTTTGAAATGTTCTAAAGAATCTGCCATTAAAATAGCATGCGGTAGTTTCAGGATATACCCTGTATATATTATTTAGTTCCTCGATTTATCGGGCAACCATGTCGTAATAGATTTACATTTTTATTAGAAATTTTGCGTTGACGATAAAAATACTCGCAATGAATGTAGAAAAACCGACAAATTGGCATAGATTCATGAGATTTGGGAATTGATATTAACAATGTGCAAACAATATTACAGTCCGTATAAATATTGTACAATCGACGAACAGCTTTTAAGTTTTCGTGGGAAATATCCATTCCCGCAAAACCTGATAAATATGGAATGAAAATGTTTTAACTATACGATAAAATGACGTTTTCTTTGTATTTACGAGTAATTATAATTTTTCAACACATGCTTATTATAATTTAATTCTAATTCTTAATGAATATATGTGTTTATCAGTCTATTAACGATCGGGAAAAAATCAAAATATGATGATTTTCACGGAGTTATAATAAAAAAAAGTAGCTACCCATACAGCATAAGATCTCCTGGGGGCGTTCTGAGGTGTCCTGAGAACGTAGAAACGTTCCTAGGACGTTCTCAGGACGTGCTTTGGACATATATGCTGTTAGGGTGTGTCCTTCAGACCCCAGTGTAGCATCTACGTATGCGAAAAATAAGTGTGTATACTTCATGGACATAATATACATGAACTCCGAATGTCCTATGTTCTATCGTCTAATAGAGTGAAACCAACATCTAGAAAGAGAGCTAGAATAGTTTTCTTCCTATTTTGTCATTTTTTTGTTGCGCGTGCATATATTTCTCATTTCCATAATATTATAGAGCGCAACAGCACCCCGACTAGACTGGCAAGTAAAAGTTTTACTTAAATCTTATTGCACACTGTCTGTGCAGAAAGAGACAGATAACAGAGGGGCTGTACATATTGGCTTCTCTTTTCTGACTATGTGGAGTCTATGGTCTCTTTCTACATGTTGGCTTCACTTTTCTGGCCGTATGTGGGGTCCACATATATCTACGTCCATGATATACCTAGGGTTAAAAAAACCAACCTAATCCAACTCATCCTATATATTTCTGATAAAAATACTAAATAGAGGACTTGACTTTTATAATCTTGTCTTTCATATATGTTATTAAGAATATATCCTTCAGTAACACTAAAATGATTTTAGGCATTGTTTATTGTTTGTTAAAAAATTATTTAAAAATTGTTTTGTAGAAAGAACGTAATTTTTATATATATACTAAAATATGGTAAACAGTATTCGTATATGCGCGGGAGAGTGGCTGTGTCCCTGTACTCCTTCCTAAAAATCTAACTCAACTGAACTCATCCTTTATATTTTTATATTCTTTCTCTATATATTTTGTACTTTTGCATTATTTCTTATTGAGAAATTATGCACAAAAATGTAAACGATAGGTTGGGTTAGTTTTTTGAGAAGGAGATATAGGTGAAGGGGCTCCGTCTTTCGCGGCGCATATGTGTATTGTATTCGCATATATACTGTGTACTGTTTATTTCAATATTTCAGTTTTTATATTTCTATGTACACTATATATAAAAATTACGTGCCCTTTATGAAAAAAAACTTCTGTTCTAGTAACTTTTTAATAAACAATGAACAACGCCTAAAACTTTTTAAATATTATTTAGGGATATATTCTTGATAAATCAAAATCAAGGTCATAGGAGGTGTGTATGTGGGCCCCCTACTCTACTCTTCAGTATTAAAAAAAAAATGTATGAGGGGCTCGGTTTCTCCCTCGCGCGTATATGTGTACTGTTTAATATTTCAATCTACATTGTATGCAAAAATTACATGCAATTTATAAAACTTGTTTTATTAATAACTTTTTAATAAACAACGAGCGACAGCTAAAACGGTTGGAGGATATTTGAAGCGTGATCTTCGTAATATATGTCAAGGTTAAGGTCATAGGAGCTGGGCTCCCTAAATAGGAATTTTACTCTTTTGATTGTATACTGCTCTTTTGATTGTATACTATGAGAGTTTTAAATATATTTTATTGTAAAAAAATATTTATATATGCTACTCAAAAGAAAATGATATCAAAAAATTATAGGTAAAAATAAGTAAAATTTTTGAATGAGTAGTATCGTGTGAAAAATCATCGTACGTATTTCTTTTTCAGTTTCAAAAGTAATATGTGTACAATCGGTGTCGGAAAAATTGTCCGATTTTTTCTTGTGACTTTCGAAACACATCTGTCTTGTCCAACGGGAAAATTCTTATTAACCAACAAATTCTATTAGATAAGACAGATGCATTTCGAAAATCACAAAAAAGAACCGGACAACTTTTCTGATGCCGATTGTACTCTTTGTATATAGCTATTTTTATTGAATTTTTGTCTTGTAACGTTCTTAGTACACTCAATATATTAAAGTGTGAATGTGATTTTTATAGTAAAAATTGCATATTTCGATAGGGCTTACACACAATATGTGATTCCTAATACTTTGTCACAGAATGCTTTATTGATGACATGAGAAACGAGAAAAGACATGCTCAAAATTTTTGCGAAATACTTTGAAAAAAATATATTTATATCCATAAAGTGACACTTTAGACCAAATAAACACATTTGTAAAATATTATTTACAGAATCTTTTCTTTTGCTTTAACAATCAATAAATAACCGTAAAATTAACGTGACATGTTACGTTTCTTTTTTTCAATTTACCTTTTTCCATGATTCTAATCTTTTATGTTAATTTTATGGCTATTTATTGATTATTTAGATAAAAGGAAAATTTTTTAAATATTTTACAAATGTGCTTATCAATCGATTATAAGTGCTATTTTACAAATATATCCTTTTATTTCGATATATTCCGCAAAAATTTTAGATTTTCTTTTTATTACTCAATTATCACTTCCGACGTTATTCATCAAGATGGCCGCAACGAAGACGCAGAAATCTTTAAGACTCTTGATCAACCGAAAACTCCATGTTGACGGTGGTAACATGATTGTAAAAACGACAAAATGATAAGCTATTAGAGGAGAAAATAGATCTGGACATGTATTATGGAACTCTTCGGAATCGATTCCGAAAAATTCCATAATATACCTCGTTCGTTTCCAAAAAGCTTCTGCACTAGTACAGACTATTGCAATAAAAGTTAGAGTGGAAGAAAATATACTTATTTCTCTCTAACTTATTGCATTAGTGCAAAAATTCATACGAACAAATCTAACAAAAACAGACGACCAATTTTTTCCTGCAAACCACAGCATTATTACTGAGTGTAGTGCATGCATATCAAATGTTATATGATTGTGAAAATGTGGAAATGCTCTGGATACTGTGCTTATTGTGATATTTAATATATATAAGTAGTAATTTTGTCATATTCGACACCAAGTCACAGTTTTTCTGTCAAAAGGAAGCAATTTCTCACATCTATTTTGCAGTTATCTAGCTATTTAGGCAAAAGAGTATCCGGAACATTTCACAAATGTGTAGAACAGATTGCAAGTGTCATTTTAATGATATATCTTTTTATGTAGCCGTGATTTATAGGAATTTTAGGTATGGTTTTCATCGCTTCTAACGTCATCAAGTATAGCCACTGTGACTGTTCAGGAGCCTTAATATATAAATTTTCTTATAAATTTTTTTATCTTATTATTATAAGTTTTATATTTACTTTATAAAAACATGAATTTAGGACAATTTGAAAATAAGCTATTTAATTGTATAAATAATTACCTGTCCATAACGCGCTTTAGGAATATAGATTTGCCATCCGAAATAGTTGCGCAACACTCGTCCCATAATTTAGTATTTAGTGTATCTTCCTTTATGAGATTTATCAATTTGTCTTCCATCTTATAAGTCTCTTGCTTCAACTTCTTAAACGCATTTTTACTTCTTTTCGAAGTTGCGATGTCCTCTAGATCATCAGAAGCAGGCCGTTTCTTGTTACTTGAAGTAGTTTTCTTCATCGCCTCTAGATAGCCATCAGGATACAGAAGTTTTAAACCAAGTGAGACAATCCTCTCCTTACCCTCCTTAGTCCAAGGTGCGGGAGCAGGATCATCTCTTCTTAATACATATCTCCATACACGGAAACCACTTTTACCTGTATGTGGATAATATTTCACTACTTTATATATACCATCATACCTGCAATAATTACAAAATTGTCATTGAACAGATATGTATGTATGATTTGTGTGTAAGTCTATTTTAATAAAATGAATAGAATATTTAATGTACCTATTACCTTCCCGCGGCGCATATTTACTATATTTCGCTAATTTGTAGTTACGAATCACTCGAACTGGTATACCTCCCTTCCAGTCTTGTGCCGTTGCGCCCACTTTTGCATCCAACTTAGCATTGCAGTTTATAGCTAATGCCTTATTCATTCTTGTTAGTGTTTGGTCACAACTCTGCTCAGCAGTTCTTTTATTACCTGGTGTATATCGATAGAATATACATAAATACATCATACAGATTTTTTTCAAATTTTAGATGATCTAATTTTGTTACAACTATTTAATTACACAAACTAATTCTTGATTACTCATGATTAAAATTAAAAAAAAAAACTAACTACTCACACACTGCGGTCACGTTGGATCATAATATCAGAAGCAAGAAATAACACATACACTACCATTTAGAAGTTTGGAAGCGGTCATATTTTTGTGTGAAAAGATCGTTTGTAAATATCATGAAAACAACCGTTTATAATGAATGTTTATTGACATTAACGACTACTTTAGGTCAGAACACCAACTCTCTATGTCTAATAAATTCTTGCTATTATCTACTTGTAGTTGAATACTTATTTTGTTTTAATCACGTTCGAATCACAAAAATATGATGTTTAGCTAACTGAATTCCGATATTCTCAATTCCGATATTTAACCATATTCTACTTAAATATGATCTTAATAATTGTATTCAAGCATTTATAGACAAGTTACAATTTCTGAGCTCAGTACGCGTTAAAGTTATCAGTCCATTAATCTAACTGAATTATGTTATTTAAAATGGCAAGAAGAAAGCAGCTTACTATATAGTGAAGTGCTATCTGTACTCTCCGTAATGAAGGATATAATGAATGGTAAATTGCAAAAAAGTTGCGTATTTCGCAAAGGTGTGCATCACACTCTTGCTAGAAAACGAAAAACAGGTTATTATCTGTTTTCATCATTATGAAGACAGAAAAAGAACTGGCCGACCCAAAGCGACAACAAGCAGAGAAGATAATTTTATTATAGTGCTATCTAAACGAAACCAATATCTAACTGCTCCACAAATTACCGCTGCATTAAATAAAACGCGTCAATCTCAATTACAACTATTAAAAGACGTCTATTGTCTAATGACCTAAGAGGATGTGTAGCTGCCAAAAAAACCGAAATTAACATGTAGACATAAGCAAAAGAGACTAGCTTGGGCTAAAACACACAAAAAACTGGACGGTAGAACAGTGGCATAAAGTGCTTTGGACTGATGAATCGAAATTTCAAATATTCGGTTCCAATAGAAGAGTGTTTGTACGCCGCTCAAAAAATGAAAGAGCATTAGAAATGTGTATTGTGTCAACCGCCAAACATGAAGGTCGCAGCGTAATGGTTTAGAGATGTTTTGGTAACAATAAGCCTAGCAATCTAGTGAAAATAGATCGAACATTAAACAAAGAAAACTATCTGAAAATTCTTCAGGAAGATGCTATACCATCTGGACTAAATGTCACTGGTTCTAATTTCATCTTTCAGCAAGATGACAACCTGAAACACATTTCGAAATTGTGCCAAAACTTTATGAAAGAAAAAGAGCGGGAAAAAGTTTTACAAATCATGGAGTGGTCTGCTCAATCCATGACTGAACCTTTGTCTCTAATCGAACTAGTGTGGAATAAACTGAATAGAAGAGTGAAAAATCGTTTTCCAACCAATGTTAGACAACTCTGGAAATATTTACAAGCAGAGTGGAAAAGTTTAAATGAAAATTATTTTCACAAATTAATTGATAGAATGCCTAAACTTTGCTTAGAAATAATAAAAAATAAAGATCATTTTGATGAAGCAAAAATTTGATTTGGAATTGCAAACACCTGAGAGTTTTTTGTTGTTTTTGTTTCAATATATATTTATGTATTATTTGGCAAGTTTTAGATTGTAATAAATGTTTACTACATGAATTTTACTGTTTTTATTTCAAATTTCTTACTGCTTCCAAACTTGTGGACGGTAGTATAGTTGCGTCCCGTAAAACGCATATGCGCATATTCCTATAGTACACATAACATGAACTACATGAAGATAAATGCACGTATATGTGCGCATTATAGAACACAATCACTAAAAATTTTATGTGCCATTTTTACATAAAAAAAAAATTTTTTTTTTTTAACAAAAGCACACTTCAAATCGCTCGAGCATCCCAAACAACCAAGTTGACTATTAATCGACTGTCAGTCGGCAGAAAAAGTCTAAAATCGACTTTAAAGTCAGAGAAAATCAACTTTTAGGCTGCGTTCCGAAATTCACTGCCAATACTGAAATTCTATAATATTTCTATGTACGTAACATAAACTTTAGATTTTCATAGAAGGAGGAGAGCGTACTAGGTGGCGGCGGGACGCCATGCGTTCGAAATCTGCGTATCTTTTTCGTTTCAGAGAGAGAAAAATATCGAGAGTGCGGTTTTGCTATAAAAAAATATCGAGAGGACTCGACTCGGGTCTTTCGCTTGCTGGGCGACTGCTTTAAACCACTGAGCTACCTAACGCTCCACACTCACGACACTCTCCTCTCCCCAGATAACGTTCAGAGATGCTAGAGATCCTGTAATAAGAGATCGGACATCATATGTCAACGTTTTGATTGGCTGCGCCATGTTTGGATCCTTGGTTCCGGTTAAGATCATTAGCTGAATGACAACACAAGCAGTGGTCTGTTCTTTTCAGCTGCACTGGCTGCACTGCTAAATTGGCAATAAGTTAAAATAAGATAAGTATACTTCCGATTTGGACCCAAACCTGGCGAACCTAGTATCTACAGGCGACGGTGTCCGATCTCTTATTAAAGGATCTCTAAGAGATGCCGTTTGGAAGCGACATCTTTGGTGTGATTCTGAGGGCACGGCGACTACAGAGAGAAACAATATTACTGTACAAAATGGTACAGCTGTCAGTCTCTCAAAGTCAAAGGTTGCTATCCTTTAAGACCTGCTCCAGTCCTCTAAGTCCATGCATGCCCGTCTCCACCGTTGCCCCTCCTCATCCGGTGCAAATAATATAAATAAACCCCAGGGTCGACACCAATTTTTTGGCAGCCCTCGGGTGCTTGGACGCAATGTGGGGCATCCACCATAGAAGGTGGATTCTATAGATTCTATTTCCTATAGATATTTTCTATTTTCTATATATTTATAGAAGATCTATAACTATAGATTTTACATAATATAAACTATAGATTGCCAGATGCACTGGCAGTGCATTTCGGAACGCAGCCTTAGTCGACTAAAAGCTGACAAATGACTCTACCATAGTCGACCGTTAGCCAACCAATACTCGACTTAGAATTCAACTTTATGTCGATTATAAGTCAACTTTCAGCCAATGTTCCAACCAACTGTGTGGTACATGTAACTGTTTGAACAGTGTTGAAGAGTTAAAATATAATTAGAGATAATCATGCTTGCTGAGTTTATACTTTAAAATAACTTTTGATGCAGATTCTAATTCAATGTCAATTTGTTTATAAATACTTTTAGATGCAATATAGTTTAATCTATAATTTTTTTTTAATTTTCGTTATTTTTGAGATATTTAAAATATTTGAATAATTTAAAAATATGTTACCTGATAAGTCTCTGCCACCAGAACCAGTGTATATAAATTCGTCACCGTTATCGATGTCATCTTCATAACCGCCGGACAAGACGATAGAATACGCACAGTCCGTTTCTCGTCCATGTATACCAGCTATATGTGGTCTATGCACTCCAGTTTCAGAAACCTGTAAAAAAATAGACACTACATATCTTTTTTCATATTTAACAGACGTATTAAACCGTTTTATCAAAACAGTTAAAGAAATTGCAAGGGTTTCTTATTTACTTGCACTCTAAACATCCAACGCATGCCAACTTCAACACCTGGAATTGGACCACGATGATTTGGAGGCACGATACTACATTCTTTTGTTCTCCCAACACAGGCCATTCCTTTTCCCCAATCCCTTTTGGGCGAGTTGTTCTTCTTATCTTCTGGAACAGTGGACTTTTTCTTTGAGTTCTTCAGCTTGTCTCCTGCCTATAACGAAACAAGAGTTGATGATTGTGTTGATAATGGTGAAACTCATCACAAACTTTTTTTTCATTAATATATACAAACCTTAACGATTTCATTTTCGTCATTTTTACACTCAGGACAGTACCAGTAATCCTCATCTGGAATTTTGGTGAGAGGTGGATTCAAGCATCCCAGGTGATAAGCTGAATTACATTCGTCACAAAGCAAGAGGTTATGTTCCTCTTCCTTGCCAGCGCAAACCTTACAACCACATTCTCGACATTTTCTACGAGGATTGTCCATACATGAGGTGCATGCAGCTGCAATACGTCTGCGTTTGCCACTGCTAATCATGAATCTTTCATCTTCGGTTGATCGTTCTGACAATAACTTAGGTGATTCCACTGCATATATCTCTCCCCTGGGATTGACCCTCCGATTCTCCAGCTTATTATCACTAAGGGAGGACAATATGGATAAAACAATAGATACAGAATATAATTAAAATGTATAATATGTATGCAATATTATATGCTTGCCTGCCTATGTGTAGTATCCCAATTAATTCTTCTAATTTCCTTTTCTTCTGTAATTTGGATATGGTAAGATCATACCATAATCCAATTTCTTTGGGATCATCCACGTTATAATTAATCATTACTTTCTGACCAATAGATAAGTTATCAAATGGTATAAGACATCTGGCACGTGGCCTTATTGATGATTCAGGTACATTAATAGGAGGAACTTGATCATCAAATTCCCATTGTATACTATATAATATTTGTGTGCTTTGTTTAAAGATGTTCCTTATGATAGCTTCAAACCAGGCACCATACGTTTGGTCAATGCAATCTACTGCATCTCCAATTTTATAATATAAACTCTCTGCTTCTGTTAATTCAATATCTTCTACTTCTTTCTTTTTTATATTTTTATTTATATTTTTTTCTTCAATATTGTCATTATTACTAGAAGTAGCCTCATTCTCTATGTTATTTAATTTTATTTTCACCATCAATTGTATTACATCATTCAAATTAACGTTATAATCGTGCAGCTTGTAGCCATTTTCTAATTGCTTCCCGCGAAAAAATAATCTCTGTAAATCAGTCTCGACATTCAGTTCTTTTTCAATCTCGCGCTATAAAAAACCAGGAATTATACTTTACATTTGATAAATCATTAAATTATATTAATAATATAAACCTTACAGACATATATTTATTTGGTACAAAAATAGAGTTCTCAAAACGCGCGAAAATACTCATTGTTAATAAGATGGAGTGCATCGCGTTAATATTCTTTAACAAACTATTAGCCAGCTGTTAATAACGTACCTTTAAATCCTCCACCTGAGTGAGCTTCGAAATTGTTATAATTGCTTCAGCACCTTCCAACGTTCTTACTTTGATATACATTTTTATAGCCGATAAAATCACACGAATAAAACATAGAGTACGAGTGCGACGTCGACCGTTACGTCGACTGAAACAACTCGGGGACGTCACTAAAATGACAACTATACGTACTGGATACACGCACGTTACTGTCAACGTTACGGCGTCATCTGCTATTAGCACTTCTTTTGGCGGGAAACGGAATATTGCAATGGTCGCGGTACGAAAAGGCGGGAAGGCGTTTGCTATTAACACAGACTTTTATATACTACTAAACTACTAAAGGGACGTCTACATTGGAAGTAAGCAGTAAGAAGTAGGAAGTAAGAATAAGAAATTGACCAATCATAGTTGATTATTCTTCTCACATTCGACTGTGGTTGGTCAATTTCTTACTCTTCTTCCTACTTCTTGCTATTTACTTCCAATGTAGACGTCCCTTAACTCTCTAGTTACCACTGAAATATAATGTCGCGTCGCATACTCCAACGTACTCTAATGGCTCCTGCACACAGGACGCGGTAATGCTTGCCGTGCGGCGGAAGTTCGCGCGACAGCCAATCAATATGCTGCTTTCCGTAATAACCTCCTAGCTCTTAAGAGACGTTTACATTTTAGGCTGCGTTCAGATTCCCCACCCGGGTGTATTCTATTACTAGAAGTGCTATAGTATATGTCACATATATTATAGTGTTTCTAGTAATAGAGTGCACCCGGATGAGGAATCTGAACGCACCCGTAAGTAAATAGCAAGAAGTAGGAAGTAAGAGTAAGAAATTGACCAACCACAGTCGAATGTGAGAAGAATAATCAACTATGATTGGTCAATTTTTTATTCTTACTTCCTACTTCTTACTGCTTACTTCCAATATAGACGTCCCTTTACAGAAAAACAACATATTGATTGGCTGTCGCGCGAACTTTCGCCGCGCGGCAAGCATTACCGCGTCCTGTGTGCAGGAGCCAATAAGCCTATTTTAGGGGAAAGAATCGAATCGATTCAGAATCGGGTATCTCTAGTCAAGACTCTGAAATCTGAACGGTTTAGATTTCTGCGCAAAGGTGCTGCGTACGGGTTTGACGCTCGACGCTCAAACGCTTCCATGTAATGGTACCTTAAGATCGTAAGAAAACTGACCAATCAGAGTTGATTATTCTCTTTGCGTTCGAGGAATAATCGACTGTGATTAGTCAGTTTTTTTACGACCTTACGGTTACGGTTAAAATTTTTCTACGTGCAAGAGCTCTAACTTTTCACACAGAACCATAATAAGCTCCCTGCTGTTCATACAGCTCACTATTGCTACCGCGCTACTGACTTTGTGAACAGTCCTTGGTAGCATTTGCGTTGATAGCGCGTTGAGTGTCTCGAATACACCTATACTGTGCAGGGGTACAAACTCCCGTCTGGAAAGTGACACGCTCTATACCTACCACCCTCTGCAATAGTCTCCGGATGCGGCCGAACTAAACGGGTGACGTCATGCAGAGTGGGGATGCGCGCCAATTGAAGTATGAATGACAGACGTTATAGCAAGCAATAGCAAGCAACATATGCACGTATACAGTTGTGTGCATGCATATATGCATATGTATATTTAAATGTATTGTATGTATTATTATATTATATTTAGATATACATATGCATATATGCATATGCATATAAATGTGTATCTCTTACTATTTTCATAAGATGATGAGAATTAAAAAATGAAGAAACTAATAGCATGTTCGACTGGCTCTGGATTAACTCACTCTGGATTATTCAGCCTACGTTTATTGGTCGAACAAGTACTTATAAACTTTATGATTGGCTAGTAGAGATTTATGACGTCATAATCGCTCTCAGAGCGATTAATCCAGTCGAACACACTATAAATTATATGAGATATCTGGTAACTCGCGCGATGTTGTATCCCCAATCCGCATGACATCACCCGTTTAGTTCGTCATATCCGGAGACTATCTCAGAGGGCGCGACTAAAAACGGAAGCCAATTTTTACAAGAGGGAGTTTGTACCCCCTGATACTTGGTCTGTTCTTTTCAGCTGCACTGCTGAACTGGTGCAATAAGTTAAAGTGAGATAAGTATATTTTTTCTTACTCTAACTTATTGCACCAGTTCATCAGTGCAGCTGAAAAGAACAGACCAACTGTGTTTGATATATACACGTTGGATCCGGGGGATCACTGGTTTATACGAAGATAAATTGTATGACTAATCAGATAACACGTCAAAACTTGAGTGTCATGCTGTTGCAAACGAGTGAATAGGTAGTAACGAAAAGTTTGATGTAGCTTTTAGAATTTATTTCGTATAATATAGTATTTTTGGTTTTGAAAGCACATAAAGTTGATACAAATTTCAATTTGTGCAACGTAGTGTGTGATTTTTACAAAAATGGGTATGTGTGAACTATTTATTTCAATAATAATGTAACTATTTATTCCAATCATAAGAGACAATATTATAAAAGAATTATTTATATTACAGGTTCTAGTTCTAGTACACAAGAAAAGAAAAATATTTCTGATACGAGAAGACTAGTCAGGGTTGACAAGGCAAACTTGGAATTTAATTCTATAAGAAATGCCCGATATGCATATGAATATAATCATTATTTACATAATCAAGTCAATAATCCATCTAAGGTTTCTTGCAAACCATTCAATGATTTACCCAAAACAGCTACCAACAAACCAAATAATGATTTATCTAAATCAACTACTTACAATCCAAGTTCTAGTTCTAGTATACAAGAAAAGAAAAATATTTCTGATACGAGAAGACAAGTCAAGAGTGATGCAAACTTGGAATTTAATTCTATAAGAACAGCCCAATGTGCATATGAATATGATCATTATTTACATAATCAAGTCAATAATCCATCTAAGGTTTCTTGCAAACCATTCAATGATTTACCCAAAACAGCTATCAACAAACCAAGTAATGATTTATCTAAATCAACTACTTACAATCCAAGTAATGATTTATCCAAAACAGTTAGTAGCAAACTAAATACTGGTTTACCCGAGTTAGTTACTAACAAGCCAAGTAGTATTTCATCAAGACCACCTAATAATAACTCAAATGATACTGTTGCAAAATATAATGATTGTGAAAGAAAAAAATGTCAAAACTGTAACAGTTATCATACTTTCACTGAGTTAGGCAAACTGAGCACATATTGCAGTGTATTATCCAGAGTTGATTGCAAAGATACAATTGATGTTCAATCAAATTTTGGAAAGGATGCTCTCTATACTAAGGAAGAGTACAATCTTAAAAGTAAAAAAATTGACGCAAGAAGTAAAGAACCCACAAATATACCTACTATATTGTCCTTAAAAACACTTACAAAGGATGACTTTATACCAATGTGGTTTTCATGGAAGAATGACTTCCTTACAAATATGAAGTTGATTGACCAAGCAGAAAATAATAAAGAAAAGTGGGGTATCATGCTCTTGAATCGTTTGGGACCTGTTGGACAAGACATATACAGAACTTTTACATTTGATGATAGTCAAGCAAATGATGATATAAATGTATTATTTGAGAAATTTGATCATTATTGCATGTTTGGAAGCAAAAAAAGAACACATAATGAAGATATTGATATATATGTAAATAACTTGAAGGTATATTTCATTTTTTTATCTCTTTTTATCTCTTTTTTTTTATCTAGTTCTAAATTCTGTTCATATCAAATTATAAAACAGATTTATATAATGAGATGCTAACAAATATAGTAAGAAAGATGTACAATTTTTTAATTTCTCATTCTGGTTTTAAAAAACTTTATGTGTAGAATTGATATGAAATTTTTGTAAGATATGTGTCACTGAAGTTATGTGTATGTAGTAATAAGTACAATATAAAGTAGCTAGCCTATAATTAAATTTTTTAGAAATGTTTATTGCAGATAATATTTGTTTTTATGCCAGAATATGGAAAGAATATTAATATATTTTTTATTTCTTCCTATGTTGAATCATATGCAATATTTTTTTCTAGGTAGTAGCATCGAAATATATGACTAATGTGGATGAGATAGTAAAGAAGAAAATTCTGGAGGAAATAGATGTTGAAAAATTTACAAACAATGCTAAGATCTTAATTCCAGGATTCTCATTTCCATCAAGCACAATGTTTTTGACTGTACAAGAAATAACACATATTTGGATGAAGTATGAAAATGTAAGTTTTAAAAAAGATGAAAAAATTGTTAATTATACAGTTAAAAACTGTAGCAAGTGTAGTTTGGACCATGCAATAAATTGCTGTCGAGCATATGGTAGACAATGTACGAAGTGTGGTAACATGAATCACCATTGGAGCAGATGTCCATCTCAATATAAAGAGAATTGTTCATATTGTGGAGAAAGTCACTTCTATCGACAGTGTCCTGCTTATATGAATGAATGTAGCAAATGTCGTAGACTAAATCATTTTTATTGGATGTGTGGAATTT